ATGGATGGATAAATTGAAGCCGGAAAATTTAGTGAGTTCTTTTGCACTAAATGATGTATAACTTTTAACTGTTACCTTTCACATTTAAATGCTTTTCCAACAATGCAAAAATAGGCGGAGAATTACACTTTTGTTAGACATTTTGTCTCTAATATCTAAGATATAATTTAGCCTAGTCACTTCCACTTCTATCCCCGTTTCATTTCCAAACTGCCCATTAAGAAGGTTACACGTAACTGTCTAACGTCGAGGATAGATGGCATCCAATAGCAGAAATGTCAACCTAGTTAAATACAGCGAATGCGGCAGGGGCTGTATCTCTTTCCATCCCATAGTGCAAATCTTTTCAAGGCTCTATGTTGGGCATGCGGTACGAGGTCTTGCCTTTTTCATCCCTCGTAAGGTTAAGAAGAGAACCGCCTTTCCAATAAATCACTAGTCCAAGCTGTTTCTAAAAAAGAGGATATTCTTGCTCAATTTCGGGCTGTATCAAAAACATAGCCTAAATTATTTGACCTTCAGAAAGGAAAACGATTGCACCTACAGCCTTCCACGCACGCAATCGCACAAGAAAATAAAATATGTCGCTCTGCGAATAGAAGTGGCAGTTACCTTAGACGTTGGGCTTGGGTGGCGACGGCGGTGGATCATTTGTGGAAAACCAATGGTATGTTCATTAGCTTTACAAAGGTATAAAAGTCATGTCTTACCACAAATTTATCAGCCAGTTAAAACTTAACAACGACGTGCTTGTAGAACTTAGATGAAAGAAATGAAGAACGTCAAGATTGTAGTCTCAGAAGCCTATTGTCATCGCCGAATGTGTAACTTTTGGCACCCATAGGGCTAGCTACCATGAATTTCTCAGTCGACGTGGGTGTAATGCCTTCTCGGTACACAAATCACCACACATTTTAGTCATTGATTACGTGGAATTTGTCATACCTATCAAGAATGGAAGGTCCCTTTAAAATCGCTGTTATAACTTCGCCCTACCTATCCTTGCAGGGACGCTTTTTAAACCCTTGATTCCAGACGTTAGGTTGTTGTACTGTTGCAGTTTTCATAGAGAATTACACACCAAACTTGCGGAATATTGGTACACGCTTATATTCGATTCGCAAAGCGGACAGCCTCAAAACACACCCATCAGGCTCGACGGATATTTGACATACGGCAGTTCAAAGTAAGAGGCGGTAACGAGACAGCACGGTGACGCATTACAACCGTTGGACAAACTCTCATGCTCACTTAATACACTTTTTGGACGTATTTGTTCTCAACTTTTAGACAAAGTTATGAAGCAGGAGATACTTTTACAACGGGACTGTCAATGTGTGGCGCTAAATGAAATGCCACCGAATGTTTGGAGCACTACTGCGATGTAAAAGCAGCTTCTCATGTCCCACAAACTATGATACAATTAAAAGTTAATCTAATCTACTCATGATGTGTTAAAAACGAGGCAGCTTTGAGCATAGATTTAGACAAAATTCCATCAAATTATTACCTAGATGGCTTCATTCTAATTGTACTGCAAACTGTTAAGTTTTTTTTTGAAAATATGACACTTGGGATATTTCACCTTTCACTGCTTACTTTCTGTAGCTACCGAACAGATGGGAAGGTATTCTCTTCTATATTTAGGGATCTGAAAATAATCAAATTTTCTACCTTCCTTCGTTTGCCTCATTTAAAAGTAGGTCGGTCAAAAATCAGTCAGAGGTTAACTTCTAAGTTGAAGTAACTCATGAAAAAAGCATCCGATTTCTTAAAATTTTACCCAAGGATGCGATTTAGCTACACTACCGAATTTGACTTACTTTATAGATCTCCTGTGTAAACAATGGTTGGGGCTGCTAGCGGCAGCTGTCAGTCACGCGTGGCCGCACCTCTCTTGCCAGTCATGGAGGCTTTAGTCACACCCAAATGAAGTCGTGACTGGCGATTTTTCAACTCCGTAATTTAACATTTTCGGAAATAGTCTTGTAATGATGCCCAGGTAGACCAGTGACTAGGCTTGGAAATTCTCTCCAATATTGATTGTTTAGGTGGGCCGACGACTCCCGCGTGATTTTCAAACACGAGGAATCAATTTTGTTTAATTTTCTCTTTAAAGCTAAAAGAGAAATCAAAAACACCCCAAAATTGGTTTTCTTGTAAGAAAAAGTTAAAATTTGTAGAGCTGCACGATTTCATGCACCTGATCTAATTATGTGATGCCAGAACGTCAATGTAACCCTAGATATTCCTCCCTTGGGATTGTGAAACTGACAAAAGGCAGCTGTCAGTCAATGTCAGGAAACTTTGGATCGAATCATCGTCACATCAGAAGTGGTGAATCATAAGTGGTGTTGTATGAATTTGCTATTTAAGACACTTGGACAACTTTAGGCAAGTACAGCGATAGACGACAGACGTTGGTCTTATTCCAAAACAAGTCGCCTAATGCCGAGTCGTGGTGACAGAAGAGGGGCTGTTCAGTGTAATGAAGGTAACCTGTGACCATAAACAAGGAGAAAAATTTGTGTAAGGCTCATGCAGGAAAGTGTATTATATTTAATGGCTTAATTGACTGGTTCTACGGAAAAAATTCCTGAGCACAAAATGATTGCCAAATAATGGATCGCATAAGAACGATCAGATCGTATTCGAGGATAGAATTTGAACTTGTTGACTGATTGTAGTTTACTTCCCTCTTTTCTTATATCTCTTTCATAACTAGTATTATTGTAATGTGAAGTGCCAAGTCTCATGGCAACCTCTATGTCAAATGTGTCACCAGCTTTTGTTAATGCAGCCGTGTGAAAAAAAATCGGAGAGTGGGTGCTACCACTTAAGCCTCTTACCGACCCAAAAGCATGTACCAAACACAATTAACTTTAATATGGGAGTTTTGTGACTTTTAAACGGCCTATTTTCCCTCACTCATTGGATTAAGAAGTCATATTATTCAATCACACACAGGGAGAAAGAGAAAGAGACACAATTGAGTTGGCAATCAGTGATCCTCCCTTTCCTCCATATTTCCCCCAGCATTTCTTCTTATTGAAGACTCCTATTTGAAACACACTTAAATCCTTAGCAGTAGATTTTGAAAAATGAAGAGCAGAAACAAATACGAAGAATATGTTTCAGTTTCATCATCTACTTCTCGCATCCATTGGAGTGTATTAAGCATACATTCACACAAAGGCGATTTGAGGCGTTAGATACAGCATCTCACAGTCATGCAAAATTTTATTGTTCAAGATGGTACCTGTGACGTAGATGTATTCTCAACAATGGAGAGCACAGTCTGGTTGGGTTTTCTTCAATACATATAGCCGGAGATCTCCCCAAATGAGTCTGGGAGAACCGCCATTCAGAACGTCGTAGCCTTGAGAGAGATTGAAGGGCTGCAAAGACTGGCATCAGTTGTTGGCATTCTGGGTGAATAGGTAGGTACCTACTTTGCGACTTTAAAATCTTTTATTTAACTATACTGGACGAAAATTTCTCTATAACTGTATCATTGTGTCGTAGATACTGCATAAACTTGTCGTTGCAATTCCAAATGATCTGAAGCAATCTTTGTTGAATTAATGGAGCATAGGAGAGTCCCTACACTCCATGATTGTTTTTGGAATATAAAGGACTGGAATATAGAAGTTAAAATATATGATCCTGGCTCTCCTTCATCTTTGGCACATCAGACGAACCATGAATTTTGCTTTTTTGACATCAGAAGGTGTCCCGACACTGTTTACTTTTCGTAGAAATAAGAGTTTTCATCTGAAAGAGAGCTTCAAAGTAGACATAATAGCTCTCCCTCATCGTCAACATGTCCATTCTCCATGGATTTAATTTTCTGCATCGGAAAGCGTCCTGACGCCTACGATGATGACTGGCATCACGACCGTAAGTCTTGCAGAAATTGGAGTTTCTATCTGAAAGAGCACTTGAAATGCGCATATTTAAGCACCCCACGACCACGACGACGATCGACGAATGGGCTGCTGACGTACTCGTCAGACGTGACTGTCGAATAAATGACTCAAGATTCCAGATTTTAGAATGCGAAAAAGTGGAAGAATCGAGCATTTTAAATGACCTCTCCACTCCTGCGGAATTGTATAGACTTAAAAAAGTTAAATGGTCAAGTGAGTTGTAATGTGAGTTGGAATTTTTACGCTCAAATTTGTCAAAAATGCGGTGCCAGTGTGGACGTTGTTTCAAAGAACCACGAGGTTCGTAGAAATGTATCCCAAAAAGCATAGGATAGTACTGAAATATCCCCTAATTTTTTGAACCTCATACATATCACCATTTTTACTCCAAAATATTCTTTAAAGTGTGTAAAATAACTTTTTGTTTAAGTAATGAAACTGCTGCAGTAGTGGAGGCAATTGAACCTGTGAAATGGGTATTTACAAATTAAAAAGCCTCACCCAATGAGCGGCTCAACTTGTTCATGAGTTGTAAAATATTCTCAAGGAAATTAGAGCTGAAACGTGACTGTGCGTTAGGAATGGGCTACGTAGTTGAGCTCTTTCTTCTTTGCCTTCAAGGCAGTTTTTACTAGACACAATGATAAATCATCACTAGGACAGGCGAAGATCGATTTGGTGAATGGTCAAAGAAGCGGTCCTGCCCGATGGACTGATGGAATCGATGACAAATTTGCATCATGCCTTCACCGACGACCACAAGGTTCTACCATCTCTGTCCCTATTTTCCGACGACCTACAACATTGAGTAGGCACACACATGCGCATCTACCGACGAAAATAGGTTACTCATCACCTGTGGCATTGTGTTGCAGCCCAGTGATGATCTGATAGTTGCGGTTTGTTGCAACCTACAGGTAGAAGCTGCGGTGAGATAGAAGGGAAATAAGGGCATTAGAAGCTTAAATCAAGTGAGGAAGTTAGAAACAAGGTGGGCGAGACTACCTGCTGCCTTGATGCGACATCGCAGAGCACCAATTCCCATACAAACACTCAATGATAATCAAGCTTGACAGTTTCTGTGCGTGCAAATGCCATTTTTTTTCTTTAGATCAATCATGTTTGGGTTTGTGTGTAGATGGGTTGTTTCGGTGTCTCCGGGTCTTCTCTTCTTCCTTACACATGGATTATATCCCCCTAATATCGCAATTTACTTGAACCAAAAGGGGTAGTACCATGAAGACTCCTAAGTATTTGAAAGCCTCAATGCGCTGAGCAAGTTCCAGCTGCTCCAAAATCATTGATGATCCTTAAAAAATTGGAGCTATGGAGCATAATTATGTGGAAAAGGTTACTTCGGCCCGGGTTAACAGGCAATGCCGACTAGTCGCGGTGCCAAACTTCTTTTAGAAGAGTTTTTATGATAGACTTACTACATATAAGGCGTATTTATACCCCACCAGGTGGAATTTTCAACCATTAAAACGTGTCAAACATTCCGTATTCGCAATGGAGGAAGTAAAGATTGCTATTATGTGGATCAGCTTTTATCAAACACATTGGAGTAGTCACGTTTCTGAGAAGCACCACTCGTTGAAATAAGGTGATTAGTCATGCTGATGCTTGTGTGAGAATTGAAAAAGGAGAAGCAGTGTTAAGGGTGCTCCGAATAGCCTAACAATTGGCTAAAAGAGAGGAAGAAATGCAAGCTAATCCACCTGATGCATTGACGCAAGCAAAAGTACCTTGAAGGTTGCCGCAGTCCAGGTTTTATAGCTAAATATAACACGAGTTGGAGTAAAATGTGATAAATTAGATTGCTAATTGAACGCCTAGGAGGGGGGTGTGAATGGATGGAAAACGATATTTACACAAGGCCCGGGCACACATACACACAAGCACACTAAACAAAGACTAGTGTATTAATTGCTCTGCAATGCTTCTCAGAGAATAAACACACGAAATGTACCCCTTTAGCAGTGCGTGTGGCAATAATCGACGCAGCAGCATGTCGAATAGGCAGGCATTGTACGCGCGTGCAAGTACCGGTTATTGCTCAATTTTACGCACCATTTGAATCAGCCAATGGGAGGTAGGCATGACTAGCGTGCTTTGCACGCGCGTATGCGCTCGCGTGTGCGTGAGTGGGTGCGCGCGTGCGAACTCAGTGTGAGTCAAATTGCAGTGCGCGCAGTTTCCTATTTATAACGCAACGACACGACTGATCAAGGCACTGCTAATTCACAGCTCTCACTCAGACTGTTTCTACTTCTCATCATTGTCTTTTCTCCGGCCGACAATCCCACGTGGAGAGCTTTTAATGACCTTTACTTGCCAGGAAAGGCAACAATCAATGTAATTCGGGCCGTTGGAGGGGTTTTTAAACTCCAGCCTCTTACTCCTATGCTTCTAGCCGAAGAGGAAACTGGGAGACGCGAAACAGTCCATATATTAGCTGATAACAAAGAAGAAGCACATTTGTTGTCACCTTTACTTTCCACAGCACAGCACTTATGCACATCGTCACATGAAGGGTTAGACTTTAATGAAGTTCTCGCTTACCTCCACATTTTTACCGCCCTTCTGCGTCCATTCAGGATAATAGCCTGTCCAAGTGATAAGACAATCAGTAAAACGGAACGTATTAAGAATGACGGAAGCGCGCAAGAGAATCGAAACTTCCCTCCCTTAACCCTAGTTCATTTGGTCATCCTTGTTCTCCTCCTTAGTCTTCTACCAACAGCAAACGCATTTGGGCTTGGACAGACTCGTCAACAGCGAAATCAAGCGCTTCATAGACCTGCATCTGCTCCTTTGTTCGATCCTGAAAGGACCGTGGATGGTGTGCCGGTAGAGGACTCCACTGTAAGGATTCGCACAAGAGAAGTGGGTAATCATCCTTCCACTCCATTACAACAAGTGGAAAACCCTGCGGCCGATCCTTGGCTATACGGTGTTCCCCCAGTTGACCCCAGTGTCCAACGTCCGGCTTACACTCCAGTTTTCGTTCCAAACTACAACTATTATACAGTCTACGGCACACCATGGGTATATCCAGAGACAAGGCTAGTTGGAACCTATAGCCCGTCCCCTGCAGTGCCTCAGTGGCCTCCACAAGCCTATTATCCCCGAAATTCAGTGCAACATCGTCGAAAGACGGGCGACAGAAGGCGAAAGGATAAGTACAAAGGGGAAAAATGTCCAAAGATCTGCGAAACCTGCCTCAGAAGTTATGATGGGACAGGTAAGTACATCCTTCCTTGACCGATCAATCATTCACTCCCGTGAAAAGTAATAAAGAAGTCGCTCCTTTTTACTGTGGTCCTCCTTGGACCCAATCCGTGCAGCCGAAATATCTTTGGGTATTTCTTATTATAACAGCACACAGCAATCTACAGTTATATACGACTCACGAAGATGACTAATGCATTGAATTCCGACGTATTCCACACAGTCGACCTCCTCTAAACCACAAGTTTATTAATAGTAGTGTTTCTAGATTTGATTCAGATTGTCATTTTCGGGTCTGGGAATATTCTACCCTGTTCAGTTATAACTTCGTGACTCCGTGATTGTTTCGTTAATTTTCCGACGCTGTTACTTAGGCGAGGCAGCCGACTTCCGATCCTCTTGAGAATTTAAAAAAAATAGAGGATAAAAAGCCAAAAATTTCCCTAAATTTGGCCTAATATTCTTAAGAAATCAAATTTTAATTTAGTAGGGGGATATGTTTAATCCAGGGCGAAATGGGAGTAGGTGGGAGGGCAGGGGGCTGATGTATGCATGAAACACAACCAACTGAAGAAGCAGGTGACTTCATACCCCACCTTAAGGAGGATTGTTAAGAAAACTTCACTTCTTTTAATAAATCCAACCCTTATGTAATATGAGGAAATTGCTGATGTCACAACGATTCCATCGTACACTCTACTCACAGACCCAATTACGTTGAAGTTCATCGTCTCCATCCATTTGACTTTGTTTTTCTTCTGCAAAACGACTCCATTGTCAAGTATTTCAGTGGCCACATTATTATCTCATGAAATAGCTGATATGAGCTAACAAAGGGCCTAAAAATTTAACTACACCTCCCAGTTATGTGATTGGGTCATGACAATGAAATGAAGGTAACTTTTTTAACTCAACATGAATTATTCGATGGTAGCGGTGCATGTGAATCAAGGTATGCTTATGCAGGTAGATTTAATTAAAGACTAACTTACAATTCCCCTGTACCTTCCTGTGTATTTTGGAAAAAAATAATAAATCCTTTTCTCAGTTCGATTTCATCCCATTAAAATGGGTAGGAGATGCAGATACCATAAACTCGGCTATTTGGAGAAGTTTTAAAATTGAAAAATACAAATTTTATCCCACAAATTGGTGCATTGGAGTCATGTGACGTTGTAAAAGATCTAGCAATCTTCCTTCTGGAAAAAAGGTAAATTTTTTGGCATTAAGAGACGCTTGCACACATCCGGATGGAGTTGGACTTGAAAACTTCATGTTTACAACGTGCGTGAAAGAGTTGGAAACATATTTCCTGAGGAAATTTGAAGTAAAACATATCCTGAAATGTATTTTTCATTTAAAGGATTTGTATCAAGTGATTTGCGTTTATATAACTTTGTGTGAGGTAGTCCAAGTTAACTGCACGACTATCATTTTCCCCACCCGAGGGTCATTCAGAGACCTCTCTCTTTCAAGGTCATCTCGCCTGCTTTCGCTCGCATTAGAAGTGAATGCAGAGTAAAATATATTTTTATTTCCGATAGTAAATTAAGCGATTTTCTCTGCATAGGCGGACAGTTATCACTGATGCTTGATTCACTGAGAGGTATGTGAAAAGCTGAGAGTGTCACATCGACTAACACAAAACAAAAACCCTCACACTCAGGCGCAGAGAGAGAGAGAGAGAGAGAGGAGAGGAATCACGATAATTTCGCACGGACTCGACTACAATCAAACACTTTGAAGTGTTCTCCTTCTCGTCTTCTTCCTCCTTTTCTAGCACACAGTGAGTAAGAGAAAGGCACTACTAAGAGTACACACAAGAATTGACTGCCAATGAAATTTGTAGCGTCCACTTTTTGTGTTTTTTTTATTAATCAACCAAACCTCCAAATGGATGCTGCATTTTTTGGAGATTTGTAAGTCAAAAAAACAAAGCCAAATGCTTCCATCCTTTATGACTCCGTGGTGAGGTTTAAATGAAACGTAAACTCATGCTACTTTAAATCATAAACTCGCGCTTGCCTTGTGGCAAAAATTTGTACAATTAGTGGCATTTTGGAACAGTCTAGCTATTTGGTATGACTCCTTTGTTACGTGATGGCCCCTGAGGTAGAGAAGTGCCAAGGGCTACGTTGACAGTTCTCTTGCATTACCGATTTCGTCCTTTTTTGCGCTATGCAGATGTCGAAGTAGACAAAGAGAGGGCTCTTCTCCAACAACGCTTTGCCCTTCACGTCAAACCCTCTATGAAACACAAGGAATCCGTCGAGGCATTGTTCAAATATATGGATGGAAACAGTAAGTTCAGATCTAGTAATTCAGCTCATTAATCAACCAATCAAAATGCCCCATTTAAAGTTATTTAAAATCGTTAATTCAAATAAAAATGCTCAAAGAATATGTTGAATTTTCCAAATTTAATTGCTTTTAGAGGACTTTAAACAAAATAACTGAAGCGAATCAATTCGGTTTCTTTTGAACCCAAAGAGCTCAAAAAAGAGATTTAGTTTTTCTGTTAAAATGGTGTTTGAAACATCGTCTTTTCTACAAGAATAAAAAGTGTGTCTCGAGAACCACTTTTATGTCTGCATAGGCAAGTTAGTTGTGCAAATTTTGTGAAAAATTGGGATTATTTAAGAATCGTATATTCAACCCAGAAATCCAATTGGTAGAACGCAGGCTCTACAGTCTTGAAAGCTTAGAATCAAGTGAGGCGGTGATATTTACCATTTCAATCAACGCAAAAGTCATTGCTGAAACATCTCTTGAGGCATGAAATATCTAATTACCTATGGTAATGTCAATGACAGTGAGGAAAGAGGATTTGTTAGGAGCCATTGGATGTGCATCTCTCTCCACTAACGTCATCGAAATAAGAGGCTGCAAAGACAATCATTTTTGTCCTTTTTTCGCCTATACAAATTATTGCATCGCTACTCATGCCCCCAAGAGATCACGAGCTGCGGACTTAAATTTCAACTGAATAATTTGAACCCTTTTTTAAACTCCAAAACGAGCGCGAAATGAATCGATTTTTTCAAACAAACGCAGTTGTGTGTTCAAATTCAATTTTTCAAAATGTGACATGAAATGTGATTCTAGCGCATGAAGAATAGTGCTACAGTATAATGAATATTAACTCATCCCTCGGGTTCGTGTAAATAATGAAACACTGTATTTTCAAGGCTGTAACCTTGAACTGGCTTTAATTAAGTGAGTCATTGATGTGATTTCTGGAATTGTGTAGGAATGTAAATGCCTTCTCAATGACTTCAGCTCAGAGCAGGGGTTATTAAATAAATTTTACATGCCAATTAATCAACTTAGGTGTCCCTTCCTGGGACACCCTCTCACCAATTTCCTTATTTTCGTGTTTTAGATGATGGAACCATCAGTTTTACAGAATTGCAGAACTATCTCCTGTTGCACAACATAATCTCTCCCGATGTACCCCAGTAGAAAAATGAAGACAACCTGACCATGCCTACGTGTCCCGCCAACTTGCATACATTCATGCCGTCACTCTCCATGCCTCCACGCCCATCCCTCCAAACGGTTGACATTCAATTTTATCCAATCTGACTTGCACATAACCTACTCACTATCACTGTACTATTTATTACAATAATACTACTTTTGTATGAAGATCATGCTGCATAGATGCCCTATGCTGATGCGTTAGTAGGTCAGGAAGTGGGGAATTCCGAGGTAAGGAAGGATAACTGATATCTAACCTTCTAGTTATACTTTTGTTTTGTTTTTTACACCAGTTGTATCCCGTAGGCGATCCACTGGCCACCTCGACGGTTTTCGAATTTGTTGTCTCAATGACAAGCGATTGAGTGTCATGATAATGAGCTAACACTGCTAGGTGTACAAGACAAAAGTACAAGAGATAAAGATACCACTAATGCGACTGCATTATGTATAGATGTGAAAAGAGAGGGGGCGAAGTCATTAAAAAGCCAACAGTATCTACGAATAATGACATCTTACAAGAGGTTGGTACTCCTCTCTTATTCATGAAGTGGTTACCAACCAAGTGCCAAGTGGAATAACCCAAACGATGGAGATAAACTTACTGGCAATTTTTTATGCCTAGATGCGTAAAGTGACCTCAAAAAACTGCTTAATTATTTAGCAAGACTGGATTAACACTTTTATGGGAAATTTTACAGGTTACACTAAACCATTTGCACCAAAATCGCATCGCATAAATCCCAAGCTCAGCTTTAATGAAGCTTTCTTAATACCTTTGTTTAAATCGATGCGGAAGGAGGTTGATTTAAAAAAGGAGGAAAAATTAATAGTCTTCATCCTACGTTGGTGCATAATTGCATAAAACATATCCTTTATTTCGAAAAAAGAATAATTTGTTCTTTTTATGTGATTTGATTTGTGTATTGCTACACGATACACTCACAACGAAAGCTGACAACAAACGGTTTTTAAATCCTGCAAAAATGCGATTTAAGGGTTCTTTAATCAAGTGAAGTATTTAATTTATTAAGGTACTTTTCATGTCTCAGTATTGAGGATGTCAGACTTTTTAAAAAACACAGCTAAATGGTTACTTGAAGGCTCGCTACAGTGGCCTTCCTCCTGGGATTTGGTAAACAGCGCTGATTTCGTCGCCTCGGCAAATGGCGTGCAGATGAACTGGATTAGACACCTGGCATTGACATCCACAAAGAGAGCTGAATGCTCAAACTTGAAGAAAGGTAAGAATAAATACAAATTAGAAGGTTATTTTCTCCCAATTCGTAAAATTCTCTCACGTCTTCAATCCACAAATGATGACGTTAAAGTACAAATGAGTACCTTTAAAGTTATGTGGGAAAACCCAGAATCCCCTGAGAAAGTTGAACGTAGAATGCCAATCTCACAGTAAATAGAGATTACCAAGTAGGATCCATTTAAGTAAACTCAAGCCTCCTCTACTCAACCGAAGTACCCTTCTTGAAATTTAATGCCACAGCACGCCTCACGATTTGGGGAAAAAAATGAGTAAAATAAGGGGAAGTTTGTTTTGTAGTAGTCTATATTTTAAAATGGATTTTTTTGGCAAATATTTTGCCTCTTGCTTTAATATTATTTGCTAATTAGGAAATATTACTTCGTTCGTATGTTTTAACTTGCACCCCTTCATTTCTCCGTGATTTATCTTAATAAATGGAAAGCTAAAAGAGACTACAATGCAACATTTTAATTGCAGAATGACAAGCCCGGATTTAAATAGAGCCACTTTACCACCTTTTTGACTCAGAGACTTATTTAGGGGTGTGTAAGAGGCTATAATAAGCTGTTAGCTTGCCGCACTATAAATTTAGCACCAGCTCGGTGTGGACCGAGTCTCGTATTGGATCCGACAATGTGATTGGTGGAGATGCCACTTCAATTTAGAATTAGATGAAGGACTATGAGAGGGTCTTTTCCCTTTAGCTGAAAAATCCAATCCCATGAGTGAAAGCGTGTATATGCAAGGAATGATCTCAGCATGTTGACAGTGCGTATGTGTTGCCTCTTCTCTTGCCTTGGCACGTACCCGCGAATTGGCGTGTAGTGTGTGATGCGCATTTGACTCATTCCTTGCAAGTGAGCCTAGTGACAGCTTACTCCTCCGTGTGTACACCTCGCACGCAACAGGTAGCGCATTCCACCTTTTTTCCGCCTCGACCCACAGTTAATCTCTCCGTGGTGGAAATTCACTGGAAAAATAAAACTGAAAGTGCCATCCCTCGCAAAAAG